GCATGAAAAACGCAGCAAATTGAAAATAACCATTCTGTGACAAAACTAGGATTTGTACAGTATGTGAGATTTTGGACCGATCTTTCTAGTTATTTAGCCAAAAAGGTGATAGTGCTTTCCCTCGCAACAGAAGTAAGGATCGTGTAGCACGAAGCAAAATGTCTACTCATATTGTGATTTTTTTCCCCCTATTAAGTTCTGTAAAATGAATATTTACCTTTTGGGGGTTTCTGGTGCTGGAGAAGCTGCAAGTTACCTTTCCACGGCTTTCTGCACAGGTGACCTTGCCTGCCCCCCCCCTCCTCCCTCCTCCTGGCTTCTGACTGATCCTTTTGCCTACTTCACAGGCCGGTTCTTTGATGAGAACGAGTCCCCCGTTGATCCTCAGCATGGATCTAAACTGGCGGATTATAATGGGGATGATGGGAATGTGGGTGAGTATGAGGCAGACAAGCAGGCTGAGCTGGCCTACAATGAGGAAGAGGATGGTGATGGTGGTGAAGAAGACGTCCAAGGTGAGCTTGGGCCTTGTCTCCATCCCATTCACTTAACTTCATCATGTAAAAAACTCTTGGGCTTTTGTGTAGAGTGCCATTATTTAGCTGATAGGAAAAGACTTTTGGCACCTGAGGCTTGACCGTTGTCTTTTTTTTGTACACAGTAGTTTTAGAGTGGAATGTTTCCAAACTTGAAGCTGTTTTCTTGAAATGACTTTTTTTTTTAAATCGGATTTATTTGTGAAGTTTGGCTTTGTGTGCAAAGGGGCAGATCTAGCACCAAATGTTAAACTGGAGTATGCAGTTGAATTTACAGTACTCTGCTTTGGAGAAACTAGCTGGGATTTTGAGCCCATTCTAGCAGAAATGATGTAGACCATGATCTTTCAAAGCAAGCAAGGACAATTTGATTGGTCTTCAAGGTGCCACAGAGTGCATTTGCTGCAGAAACACACCACCCACCACCCCCCGGCCTAAAGGATTATCACTTAACCTAGAGGGCAGATGTAACCCAGTGATTCACAAGTATTCAAAGATTTAAAAATCCACCAACACTGACAGAAAAGAGCAAACTTCACTCCCGTATAGCGTTGAAAATATTAGCTAGTTGGGCAATAAAATCTCTGCAAGAAAGTAACCAAGTTCAGAGAGCACTTCAAATACTGTCTTCTGCTGGATTTAGAAAAGATCTCTCTAATAGGATGAGAGGAGTACATTAAATGATGAAGTGAAAGGTGAGGTTATAAAACACAACACTGCTGAAATCCAGTTCTCTGGAATGTCTGGCCAAATCAGGGGTGAGTAATCAGCAGGTGCCACGTGCCTCACCGCAGCCAGAGCACCTGGGAATTGGGAAGAAGCATATAAGGAAAGGGTGTGTGTGTGTGGTGGTTGTGAGGGGAAGTCAGCTTTATAAAGCATTATTATCCCCTTAAGGCAGAGGTCTCCAACCTTGGCAACTTTAAGACTTGTGGACTTCAACTCCCAGAATTCTCCAGCCAGCATAGCTGCCTGAGGAATTCTAGGAATTGAAGTGCACAAGTCTTAAAGTTGTCATACTGGGAGACCTCTGCCTTAAGACCAGGCAGGGGACATCTCAAAATCATTTGCTCTGGGTCATGTGACTGTGGGGCTCCGGCTGGAGAAGCTGGCCACGTGCCAAACCATGGCCCCTCCCATAGGGGTCACGGGGGGGGGGGGGGGCTTGGGCCGCCTTCTTTTCTGGCCCAACTTCAGACTGCCTTTCTTGGACCGGCTTCTTCCTGCAACACCACATTGCATCCAGTTCTCTTCAGTTTTGAATCCGATAAAACTGAGAAGTCCCAGCATCCTTTGCATAATTTATTCTGCTTTATTAGATTGGAAAGAAAACACCCCCAAAACCAACTGGTCCAGTTTTCTGTTACAGACCATTCTAATGGGCAAAGCGGGTGCGTTATTTAATTCCCAAAGGGAGGTGCGGGGAGGCCCTGAGAAATCTGGACTCCTCCGTTGCACTGATGTTGTAGGACTGCAGCACCCCAGTCCCACCCAGGGGTGGAAAGGAAAAGGCAGCCTTTGCACCCTCCGTGTCTCTCCTCTCCTCCCCCGTTTGTGGGAGAGAAACTGAAGGCTGGTCTTCCTCCTTGCATTGCAGATGACGAGGAGAGGGAGCTCCAGATGGATCTGGTGGACTATGGGAAGCCACGCTTTAATGAGGTCCTTTAAAGCCCCGATGGCTTTCTTCGGGGAGATTGTGCAAGTCCTCAGCGCTTGGTGCAAAAGACCCCGGAGACCAGAGACAGTGCGCTGTGTGACCTGGAACCTTGGAAGGAAAAGGTAAAATGCGGCGATGTGCCTATGGTGGGTTCCAGCCCTTTGCCAATCAGAGAGATGCTTTGTCTTAGAAGATGAGCAGTGGGTAGAGTTACTGGACTGGGCTGCAAGACTGTTCTTTATATGTAATCTTTGTGTTAATGATTAACATTGCAAAATAATTTTACATGTTTCTGAAATAAAGTGAACGTGTACAGTTTGTATCTCATACATAGTCATGAGTTCATTGCAGAAAAAAATATATATAGATGGAACTTTGAAACAGCAATGTATTTAATTCATGCAAGCAAATTGTTTTCCCTCATCTTGTGACTTGTATTTTATGGTAATAATTCATTTTGGAAAAAATAAGACTGAAGACATGATACGTGTTTATGAAGGAACTTTGTTTAACACAATTCTGCAAGGTCTGTGGTGGCAGTGAAACCATACGGGAAGTTCGCCCTAAGAGAATGACTAACGTTACCCATAGCAAATGTTTTGCAAAGTATTCTCATTTTATACATATATTTTTATTAGGCTCTGAATCGACAAATAGTACTTCGAGCATTCAAAAGCTAGTCTGCTAACCCATGTTTTTCTTTACAGCAGTGGGCTTTGATTGTATGCAATGATAATTTATTTGAACTTGCTTAAAGCTGCAATGTTTGGATCTTTTAAATTCGTTCCTCTCTAAACCCATTGCGTCGTTCCCGAGCGATGCTCCGTGCTTTTTTAACCGAAGTGCTGCTGGAGGGATTCTGCATGAATAGAAAAGGGGTCGGGCATGTACTGCGAAGGGCACCTTCCCATTTCCTGGGGAGGGCAGGGCCAGATGGATGGAGCCCTTTGGGATGTTCAGGGCAACGTTTACGCCCTGATAGTGACAGGCTATTAACCCAGATGGTTTTGTCAGCCAAGGGCTACTGGGAATAAAATCTTTCTAAGCCCTTTACGACAGGGTTGATCGTCTTTCACTACAGATCGTTCTTAATGACAGTGGTTGGGAGTGGAAATTCCCAATGCCGTCGCTAAGCAATACAGTCATAAAGTGCAATGTGACCTGAACCATGCTACTTAGAATGGCAGCCTCAACATTTCGGGTTGCCATCGTTAAATGAGTTCTGTGGTGGTGTTAATTGCAATTCACATGGTTGCCCCTGGTAATGTCCTCCTGCCTTCCCAGGTGACTTTGATTGTTGGAAGCCAGCAGTGAAGACCACAAATAGTGACTGTAGAACCATGGGATGTTGCAATGTTATAACTGAGTCAATTGCCAAACACCCAGATCCGGGTGTGCTTTGACCATTGTAAGTACAAGAACCGGTTGTAAGCACCCCTTGGCTCAGTGCTGTTGTAAGCTGAGTTACTGAATGAGTGGTTGTTAAGCGAGGACCACCTGTATTCCTGTGCTCAGGTTAAAGTTCATTTTTGATGAATAAAGTCCATTTGTGATCACTGCATTACACTGAATTTCATTAGAAAATTATTCACTTCTGATAAAAGTCTCTACCTGGGATTCTTTTGAGCCATAAGATGAACGCAGACCCCTCAAGGGGAATTGTTCTGCCTGCAACTTTTCTTTCTATGCTGTAAAAAAAAACCCTGCTGTGTTTACACACAAATATAAGGCTGAATCTGCAGCCCTGTCCTGTTCTTCGTAACCTTCCCCTCCCTGTCTGTCTTTATGTTAGAACTGATGAACTGACAAAACTATTTCCAAAGCTCGGTGTAATTTTGTTAATCTGCTGTTGAAATTGAACATTTAATAGGATTTAATAAAAGCTTAATACAGCGCCTGTGTCTGCCTTTGTGTTCCTCTCTCCTCTTGGCAATGGACAGTGAAGATTTCCCACATCTTCAACACAGTTTTCTGCTTCTTGCACAGTTGCGTATGTGTATACCTTTTCTTTAAATACCCCTTACGTTCCTCTCTGTGAAAGGAGGTTTTGGTCCTCTCTGCCCAGTTTCCCAACCTCTCCAGATGAATTGCAATCCTCATCATTCCCCAAACTTGATAAGCAGCCCATCCGTCTCATTGTCCTCCTGCTCAGTGGAAGTGTTGAATGCTGGCCCCGAGGTTGAGCCCCACCTCCTCCACCCATGAACGTTGTTGCCCTTGCGCCAGTCTGCGGGCACTCTGGGACTGGGAGGCGGTGGGCCACACGTCGTGCACGCGCAGCCCCCGCCTGGGCCTTTGGCGGTGCCTTGGGGACCCCCAGTGGAAGTCACCCAGGGCCAGCAGAGGGGCGACCCCGACGGCGTCCCCGGGTCTGCTGGGGCAGCTCCCAGCCGAAGACGCGCGGCCTAACTGAGCTCGCCCCGCCTTTCCCGCTGAAACCTCCCCGGGAGCCTTCGCCTTTCTCCAGCCCTGCGCTCGCCCCCCGCCTCCCCGGGCAGCGTCTCCGCGACGCCGTCGGTGCGCTTCGGCGGGGGGCCCGGGGGGCCAGGGCGCCCCCCGGGGGGGGGGGGGGGGGGGGGGGGGCTTCTCCGGGACCAAGTCCCCGGCCGGCAGCCGCCTTCCCCGCCTTTCCCTTCGCGCCCGGCCCGGAGGGGCTCGACGCGACCGGCCGCCTCAGGAGAAGAAGCGCCTCTTTCGCCAGGACGCCCCGCCCCCGCCGCGCGCGCGCGCCTGCGCAGTGACGGCGTCGGCCAGGCCGCCGGGCTCGCGCCTTCCCTCCCCCGCCAGCATCCGGGTCCTTCCGCGCGGTGCAGCAGGTCGGTCGGCGGGAAATGGCGACCGGCCTCGGCTGGGGCTGCTGAGCGCGACCGAGACCCGGCGGCGGCGGCGGCGGCAGCGGGAGCGGCGGCGGCGCTTTGTGCGAGCCGCGCGGCGGGGGAGGCCTGCCGGGCCTGGGCTGCCCTGCCGCCGCGGGTCCGGTCTCCGGCGGCGGGGAGGCGCCCGCCTGCCCCACCTTCCCTTCGGCGCTTCACAGGTAACCGCCGCGGGCGGCGCGGGAAGAGGCGGCGGCGGCGGCGGGGGCGGGCCTGGGGAATCGCGCCCTTCGCCCGGGGCTCCCGCGCAGGCCTTGGACCGCCCCCCGCCCGCCTAGGCCGAGCTTCCCGCCGCGGGCGCCCCTGTTGCTCTGCTCGGCGGGCGCCTCTGGGCCGGGGCGGGTGAGCGCGTGCCGCCTCCGCCGCGCTCGGGGGGGGGGGTGGGGTTGGGGGGCTCCGGCGGGCACTTAGCAACGGGGCCGGGCAGGCGAGCGGGGAGCGGCGCTCCAAGGTCATCCGCGCGCGGGGAGTCTCCGACGGACGGTCCCGGCTGGAGCCCCGGAGAAGCGCCCGTGGCCCCCGGGCGGCGGAGGGGAGGCGCTCGGGACCGGGGAGCCGCCTTTGTTCCCCGCGGCGCAGCGCCGGGGAGGCGGTTGCCACAATGAGCCCGGGAGTCGGGGCGCCTGGGGGGGGGGGGGGGGGGGCTTCTCCTCGGCGGGCGGGGATCGCGCCATCCCGGAAGGCGAGGAGCCCGAGACCCCCGGAGGGGGAGCCCCTCTCGGGCCGCTCCACCTGCTCGCCGTCGGGTGCCGGACGGGGACGACGACAAGCCAAGTCCGTCGTTTCAAAGCGCTGCCTCGCTTGTGCGTCCCGGATTCGTCCCGGCTACTTAACGCCTGGGCGTTTTATTAGATGGACCAACCCACAAAAAGGGGCTCTGGTCAGATTTGGGCACGATAGAAACGGAGAAGAAACGTGTAAAGAGGGAAGGAAAGTAGCGCTCCTGCCACGGTTGAGGCTCCGGGAAGACCGGTCGGGAGGGATGTGGGGAGAGTAAAAGTCTGCCTGGAGAATGGAGGCAGGTTCCGCGTAGGGGAATTTACCTTTTAAAAGGCCTCCAGGGCTGAGGAAGCAGCGCTTCCCTTGGGGTGCAAGTGCAGGACAGCTGAAAGAGGCTCCTAAGGTGGCTTCAAACCTATTTGCTCATATGAATTATTACTTGCTTTTACTGGACCAATAATTTCATCTCTCTCTTTCATTTCTCCCCTAGTAAAATGGGAATAATTCATCACAAACTGCTGGTGCTGCAAGGGTTAATTACTTAATGTTAATAAAGGGATTCGGAGATTAAAAGGGCCCTACAAGTAAGTTACTATAAGTTCGTATTAGCTGTTGAAGTGCAATAGTGATTTTTATTTATTTTATATTTGAAGAAATGGAGTCACCACTCACTGTGATGAATGTTGTTTTTGGGTGGGAGAAGAATAAGCACTGTGTGTTTTGCCTTTCCTGTTCATCGTAAGCCTAATTTAAATGTTGCTTTAGTGACATGCACGCATTACGCCTTCTCCCGAGCTATTACTTAACGCTTCAAGGAATGGTTTTTATAAATGTAGTCATCAGGGGTTTATGAATTTTCACTTGGCACGGTAGCTGGCCATAATTTGTGGCCGTGAGTAATCCTTCCTCACCACCATATCCTCTGTGTATGCCAGATAACTGGGAGTCTCTCAGTTTGCTCTGGGCATTGGAAGAGACAGAGGCTGACTAAAGCTGTTGTAGTTTCTGCCTGCTGTCAAACTGAATAGAAAAAAAGCATAAGCTGCTGCTTGCTGCTTTCTCTCCTAAACTTACTTGAGTTCTGTCATTGATCCCTTGGGCCTAAACCAGGTTAGCCATGCCCCAGTATCTCACTGGAGGGCATTGAAGGAAGATAGTCCCCTCTGAACAAGAAGTGAGGGAGGTTCATAAGGAAGGAAGGCCACTCACCAAAAAGGACTGATGGAGCCTGCAGATTGCAGTGCAGAAATGCTGCATGTCATAGTGGCCAAGGTATCTGAGGGCTGTAGGACATATAGTGCCACATCTTTTGAAGCACCCAGATGGGGAGAAGCTCCAGTGGACAAGAAAAAAACTAGGCTTTTCTCCCCTAAGAAGGATATTAGACCCAGAAAAAAATAAACTTGGAAATCTGTGTTATACAAGAAATTCAGGGGTCTTCAAACTTGACAGCTTTAAGACTTGTGGACTTCAACTCCCAGAATTCCTCCTCTAGTCATGTTAGCTCAGGGATTCTGGGAGTTGAAGTCTGTAAGTCTTAAACTTGCCAAGTTTGAAGACCCTTGTATGATAGATACATACGTACGTACATTGATAGATAGATGATTGATAGATAGATAGATAGATAGATAGATAGATAGATAGATAGATAGAT